TATATATATATATATGTAATTTATATCTTTCTTTATTAATCTTACATTTCCTACAGTGAAAGTAGTTATACACGCATGTACAGCTGGCTAATGAGAGGTCTGTAAACTGGGTCTGTTTAGAGGTGTTTATCGTATATGAACTGGTTTTGAGGATGCCGCACTTGGCATTCCTCAAGGATCTGGCGAGAGCGTGTATGTAGAGCAGTGATCCTCAAATCTGGCTCGGGAGATCCACTTTCCTGCAGAGTTTAGCTCCAACCCTATAATCAAACAAACCTACCTGTGATTTTCTAATGATCCTGAATACATTGATTATCAAACTCAGGTGTGTTGACCGATCGGTGTATGACATCAAAATATCATACAGACGGTTCCTTATGCTTTCAAAATGCTCTCGAGGTACTTTGTTTGCGTGTGCAGACCGATCGGTGTATGACATCAAAGCCAAAACCTAGATATTTTAGGTAATATAGAAATCCTGGCCAGGACGCGTCCTGGAAAAATGGCACGTATGGTCACCCTACCTTATATGGAGATGGGTTGGGCATGTTTTATTCAAATGATTAACCTTGTGCATGTGGCCGCTCATTTAGAATACTCCAAATTCATTAGGACAAGTTTAAAAACAAATTCATGAATCAGGTGGAAAGTTTTCATGAGAAGTTTGAATGTATGTATAAATATGAATAATCTACACAATTATTATTGAATGAGACCCAATGTAAGTTATGATTAATTAAAAATGTCCTTCACAAATAACTTAATATGTTGTAAAGGAAACATTTTTAACATTGGGGAGGAATTGCTTCAATCGTCATGTGGAGTCATGTGTCTGATGTGGGTTACTTGATGTCGCTGGTGTAGCTCCATGACTACTGTTTAGAGTTTATACGCTTGGACAAACAACCCAAGTTTACTCGTGATGCTGCATATACATTGGTAAGTGTCAGTGCAACAAAAAAGTGCATCTTTTAATGTTTTAACTCCAACTTGTATAACACCTTGGATAAGACCTTAAAACCAAAGTTTCATGTTTTGTCGAATTAAATAATTATTAAATAATTAAATAACTGCCTCCTCCTTCCCAACACAAGGAACCTTGCTACACTGGTGCCGAAACTCGGTGAGAGGGGGGAATATGCTTTCTAAGAGCTTTTGCCACTGAGGTGCATTTGTGGTGTCGGGGTGGAGAGTTGCATTGGTGCTGGAGCAAATTGCCTGGGGCACGGATCACCTTGCAGCAGGGCTGTGGAACATGGAGGGGTGGCCTGTGCGCCAGGAGGAGCATAATGCCATCCACCGAGGGGTATTCAGAACCATTGCCTGATATTGCAGACAATGGCCTTCTTGCAGGACATGGACACAAGAGCAATGTTTATTTTTTCTCTGCTCTCTTGCTCCTGTCCTTAGCCCAGGTACCATGGATGCCAACGAGACCCACGTTACTTTTGCAAGATTAAAGGCTTGTTTTTGATCTCTATTCAGTCCATCTACGTATTGAGAATGACCGACTCTTCCTTAGTCCCTCCCTCTCCCAGGTGGGGGAGAGTAAGTTGGAGTCTTGATCAGTACCCTCTGGCCTGCTTTGGGAGTATGTGGCAAGCAGGGCAGAGCCATGATAATAGAGCGAGGCTGGGAGCGAGTGACAATGAGGCACGGTACATCTGATGTTGAAAATGTTGCCAGTCAAACCCCTTACTCTTGACATCCAAATTTCCTGTAATTTTCCATGATGTCATGGGTTTCATCAGAGATGTGGGCTGTTCTGCTCACAGACATGAGTGATGCAGGCTACTCTATGTGTTTCATTTTCATTTCCATTTTTGGCTGAATGACACAAGTAAAACTCTCATTCCCATGAGTACAATACAGTCTGTCAACATCTGCTCATAAACATGCACACATGCATAACATACACCATCAGTTATGATTGGCTGATGCATCTGCTGAACCAGTCTCCATTGTGTGATGTGAAAACACTGAAACTAGTTGTACACATTTCTCAAATTGCTCTTAAGCCACATATGTACAGAATGTTTTTTTTTATTTTGTTTTTCCTTCACAACCAGTCAGGCAGGAAATTGTAATGACAAAAGGCTGTAATGCATATGTGACATTGATTCCATCTACTCTGCAATTTATGTTTTCCATGAAGTCCATTATTCTCCACCAACACTCTGTCACCTTTAGTCGAGGTCTGGTGTCTCATGAAGTTATCATAAGCTTTTTTGTTTCTCATGTGTATTTTAGTTGTGGTTACTTTTGCAAGATTAAAGGCTTGTTTTTGATCTCTATTCAGTCCATCTACGTATTGAGAATGACCGACTCTTCCTCAGTCTCAAAAAAATTTCCACCGGTAGCCTAGCCTCACTACCAAACATGAGGTAATATGGTGAATATATCCGGTGACGTCACTCTTTGTACAATTTGTAACAAAACCATGCTGTTTTTGTGTAGTGTTAAAACTTCCTAACATCGACGGCAATATTCTATTGAAAAGTTGTGGCTGTGGATCACCTTGGGCAGGGCCGGCCCGTTGCATAGGCAAAATAGGCAAATGCTAGGGGCGTATTATTTTTTAAAAATAATATTTTAAATAGGGGTGCGCTATATATCGAAATATAATCAATATCGCATTATAGCTTAATGCCATAGTCATATGACAAAGGTTGCGTTTTAATATAAAAATACCTATGCGCTGCAGTTTTCAGAGTGAAGAAGGTAATATGTTCGAGTGCAGCCCATGACACACAGCGTTTCACTCTGACACATGCAGCGCATTTATTTATTTGCTGGCAAACCACCAAAATAAAAGCAGTTTAATATTTGAATTTGAGCAGAGATGCACCAATCAACCATCGGCCATAAATCAGAATCGGACGTGTTTTTTTTTTGTTTTGTTTTTCTCGAGTCTGTAAACCCAAAGAGGAGAAAATGAAGAGTTCAGATGCTAAAGCCTCTAAGTGCAGTCTGACATTTTCTTTTAAAATTAAAATTTTTATCAGGCTCTTATATTTATGTTCAGTTATTTCACTTTAGTAGCATAGAAATGGACATATACATTGCCATTAAAGTAAAATTACTGAACCTAAACATAGGAGCCTGATAAAAATGCTAATTCAGACGGCACTCTGAGGCTTTTGCATCTGAACTCTTCAAATACATTGGCAGACAGAGTAATCTCACTGTTCACAAGGTGCAAAGTATGAATCTATCTCTGAGGGGAACTGACTGTCTTAAGAAACAGTTTAGATGGCATTTTCCTTTCATCTTGCCTCAGTATAATGCATTGTGTTTACAGCGGTAATCAAGTAAACAATGGATCACTGCTGTTCATTAAGCGCCACCTGCTTACAGAGAGTGAATTTCCATTTTCATTCAGCCCATCTGCTGTTTGGCACACACACACACACACACACACACACACACACACACACAAATAAAAACACGTAGATAGAATAGAAAAAATAGAAAGCTAGTGTTTTTTTTATCAGTTATTTCACTTTAGTAGCATAGAAATGGACATATACATTGCCATTAAAGTAAAATTACTGAACCTAAACATAGGAGCCTGATAAAAATGCTAATTCAGACGGCACTCTGAGGCTTTTGCATCTGAACTCTTCAAATACATTGGCAGACAGAGTAATCTCACTGTTCACAAGGTGCAAAGTATGAATCTATCTCTGAGGGGAACTGACTGTCTTAAGAAACAGTTTAGATGGCATTTTCCTTTCATCTTGCCTCAGTATAATGCATTGTGTTTACAGCGGTAATCAAGTAAACAATGGATCACTGCTGTTCATTAAGCGCCACCTGCTTACAGAGAGTGAATTTCCATTTTCATTCAGCCCATCTGCTGTTTGGTATGTTTTGTGTAGCCTGGTGTTGGTGGAATTGGCTGTGATGCAAGGGGCACCAGCTAAAATCTTGCCTAGGGCACCAAATTGATTAGGGCCTGCCCTGACCCTGGGGGTGATAGGGTGTTGTTTGGAATTTACGAATCCCTAAAGTTCTTGGATCACTTTCCCTTCAAAATCCTGACCCTGATCCGAATAGATTTGGATTTACATTTTACATTTAGTCATTTAGCAGACGCTTTTATCCAAAGCGACTTACAAATGAGGAAAATAGAAGCAATCAAAACTAACAAAAGAGCAACAATATGTAAGTACAAATGACAAGTCTCGGTTAGCCTAACACAGTACACGTAGCAAGGTATTTTATATATATATACACACACACACACACAAAGAAAAACAAGCAGATAGAATAGAAAAAATAGAAAGCTAGTGTTAGTTTTTTTTTATAAAAAAGAAGATAATAGATAAAGTAGAATTAAAATAGAATAGAAAGTGCTAGAGTTAGAGGGTCAAATAAATATGGAACAGATGTATTTTTAGTCGTTTCTTGAAGAATATCAGAGGCTTGGATTACATTCTGCGACACCATTGTTTTGCAAGGAATTGCACAAATAATTATTAGTTTCGCTGTGTTTACACAAATAATATAATCACTACACTAATAATAATAATAATAATATAAAATTAATTAATTAATCAGCCTGTAAATGATTATTTTACATTTACATTTTACATTTAATTAAAGCATAAAACTGGAACAGAGGAAGTATTTTAATATTGAAAAAAATTGCAAAGGCTTAGGCTTTAAATGAAACAATAAGAATAAGAAACAATAAGTAATAAATACATTTAAATTAATTTTTTAAAATAAAAATTTGAGGTTTAGATTAAGTTATATGTATTTTTTTTGTATTGTTGTTTTTTTTTTTGGCCAATAAATTGGGTTTTTGAAATTTATTTCAATTATGTTGTATTTTACCATTTTAAACATTAACTGGGCTTTTGCTAAGTGTATGATTTACATCTGATCCACAGAAATTCCGGTCTGTGAAGAAAGAGGATGCAGGTGAATACTATTGCCAGGCCAGGAATGAGGCAGGATGGTCAAAATGCAGTCCTCAGACCATGGAAGTTTGTAAGTGTGGCCCTTAAATATGCTGGTCAGTAGCTGCACTTTGAAATAATGATTCAGCTTTTAATATTGAAATTATTTATTCACCTTCATGATGTTCCAAATGCAGTTATTTTTCAGATATATTCACAAATATATTTTTTTCAGGACTCTTTGTTAATAACAACAAATGTTTCTTTAGAACTAAATCAAGAATATTAGAATGATTTCTGAAGGATCAGGTGACACTGAAGACTGGAGTAATGATGCTGAAAATTTCAGCTTTGACATCACAGAAATGTCAAATAAAAAAAAATCTAAATTGTAATAATTCACACACTGGTAGTATATAAATAAACAAAGAGTGAGTAAATAATGGAATTTTTCATATATTTTTTGCTGAGCTATTTATTCATTTGTACATAATTTCTTTCTAGATGATCTGGACATTGTGGGCATATTCCTGAAGGTGTTAGGCGGAGTGGCAGCATTTATATTAGTCATTGTGGGGATCTGTCAGATTCAAAAAAGTGGCTACTGTTCCTGCAAGGATCATAGGGAAACCAAGTGAGTGAAAACTATAACCACAACATGAATCTTACAGCATAACCATAAGGGCTGATCTGATTTGATCTGGAATTTAATGCACTTTTGGTAAGATTACAATGCTCTGTTTCATACAGTTACAAAGTACCCCAACATGACAATAGGATGGACTATGCCAGTCCAGATGAGGTAAGGCTTTGTGGATTTGTGACATGATAAAGCATCACAGATATCATTTTCATGTATTAGTGCACGTTTAGAGGCTATAGTCAACACCTTGAAATGTTCTTACAAGGATGGATGAAGTTTCATCCGAGATTTGCTAGTGTTTATCTTCTCAGGTTACACTGCAGCCTTTCTCTGACTGCAGATATTTTCTTTTTATTAATGCTAGCAAAGCTCAAAGTGGTATTAGTGCAATCCTCAAAATAATCTTTCAGTAAAATCTCTACATGGAAAAAATATTTGGCTGGATTTAAGTTTTGCTTCTGTAGTGCCACATTTTAACTACATATCATTTGATTGCTCACAGTTTTTCCTATCTCTGTTTTTCCTCAGGGACATTTCCGCCACAAGTCCTCCTTTGTCATATAAAATCAAAGAAGAGGAGACGAGCGCTTCAATCGTGTGAATGCCTTGTGAGCTGACTTTTGAACTGTCAAATTGTGCTTTTTACGCTGAGGTGCATCTTGAGCTTCATGGCTTGCCAAAGTTATAACAAAAACGAATGCTACTGTGTCGAACAGGGAATTTTTACTCCCCTTATTTTGATTTTAACAGACAGTAATCAAACACAGGTTTACTTAAAACTCCACTGTTTATATGTAAAAATTACATTCAATTGAACAATACTCAGATTTATAGCTATTACATGCATCTTGTAAAGTAAAAAATTATTGTTTCAGCAAATCAAAAAGGATTGAACTTAATAAGTAACATAAAAGATGAGTTTAAGTCTTTCCAAATAATTGTGAATTTCTGAATGTCAGTTGCAGACTTCAAATTGTAGCAAGGCTGAAATTGCATCCAGGTGCTGCTGTATTTTTGCCCAAAAGTAGTCAACACATAATACCAGTGCAAGAACTTACATGTCTTCAAGGCAAATATTACATTTCCCACTGGAAATATAGTGTGTGTGACTATGTGAAGAATCCTGTCAGTGTAAATGTGTACAATACCATGCCAAGACTGTTTTATCTGGGTCACTTTTGACAAGAGGATTTTATGTGTTAGTGTTTCAGCAGTGGTTATTTAGTTCATGAACTATACATTTGTAGCATTTTAGTTTGAGATTTAATCAAACACCTCCGTAAAGTCAGTCGACTTGGTTGTGCAAGATGATTCATTTACTTTTTTGAAATATTCCTCTAGATACAGATTACGCACTTGTGGTTTTTTTCAGAGTGCCATTTCTGTGTTTAAGTGACCTTCAATGCTTTATAATTGTTTTATACGTTTTGGACATATTGTCCAGGTTTTATGACTCAGTGTTATTGTTTTAATCTATTTATAAGATCTACGTATATTGTAGTTCACTCCAGAGTAGTAGTTAGATAGACCGTGGGCCGTGTCACAAGAATAAAACTGATTATGTGGAAGCAATCAACATAGTCTATCCTTTCATTTTGTTTTTAAAACATGTAGCTATATATGTAATTGGACCATCAAATTTACTTTGTTTTTAAATAAATGCAGTGGAACGGAGGTATTATCTTGAAATTTGAAAACAAGAACAAGAAATAAACTCATAAGTTTCTTTTAGCTTCTTTTTTAATAATTTGACAATATATTAGTCATGCCTCATTGCATGTCCCACTGTCTAAAAACAGTATGACAGAAAAACAAATGAACAAGAGAGCCTGGGTTCCATCATTGTACTATATATGTCATACAACTGAACTTAATAAAATAATCTAATTTCATGAATTGGGCAAATCTAATGGATATGCCTAAGCAAATTGACAGAACAGAACAAAATAGAACAGACAGGGGCCAGTATATTCCAATATGTAAACAAATATAAAGAAAGTATCTCTAATCGAATTATTCAAAGTGTTTGTTGGCAAACCATTTTATTGTACATTTTTATTTAAGGCTCAATGTTATACAGTTTTTACCTTTTCATACTATTGAGTGCCAGGCAATGGGTAGACAGAATCTAATAAGTGTAGTTAAAGGGATAGTTCACCCAAAAATGAAAATTTTATGTATATCTGTTTTTTTAAATAAAAAAGAAGATAAATAGATAAAGTAGAATTAAAATAGAATAGAAAGTGTTAGAGTTAGAGTGTCAAATCAAGGTGGAACAGATGTGTTTTTAGTCATTTCTTGAAGATGGTTAAGGACTCAGCTGCTCGGATTGAGTTGGGCAGGTTATTCCACCAGGAGGGAACAGTTAATGAAAAAGTCAGTGAAAGTGATTTTGTGCCTCTTTGAGATGCAGAATGCAATATTCTAGAGGGCACATAACTCTGAAGTAATGAAATTAGGTAAAGGGGTGCAGAGCCAGTGGTGGTTTTGTAGGCAAACATTAATGCCTTGAATTTTAATGCGAGCAGCTACTGGTAGCCAGTGCAAATTGATAAACAGAGGTGTGACATGCGTTCTTTTCAGCTTATTAAAGATTAATTTTGCAGCGGCATTTTGGATTAATTGTAGAGGTTTGATAGAAGTGGCTGGAAGACCTGCCAAGAGAGCATTGCAATAGTCCAGCCTGGATAGAACAAAAGCTTGAACAAGGATTTGTGTTGCATGTTCTGAAAGAAAGCATGTTCTGTTGTATAAAGCAAATCTGCAGGACCGGGCAGTTTTAGCAATATGGTCTGAGAAATTCAGCTTATCATCAATCACAACTCCAAGGTTTCTAGCTGTTTTTGAAAGAGTTATGGTTGATGAGCCTAACTGGATGGTGAAATTTTGATAGAACTGCTTTTGTTTCAAAAAACCCATCACTTTGTCTTAGCCAGGTTGAGTTGAAGGTGATGGTCCGTCATCCAACAAGAAATGTCTGTTAGACATGCTGAGATGCGAGCAGCTGATGCTGAAAATGTTGGCAGTCAAACCCCTTATTCTTGACATCCACACTCTGAAAAAAATCTGTAAAAACAGAACAAAATGTATTGTATTAATTTGACAGAATTTTCTGTAGCTTATTTATATTTACAGGTGTTTTACCTGTATTTTAAATTTTGCACTTCATTGCATTGCATTTTAGGGTTAACGGAAAAGTCAGTGAAATTACTGGATAATGTCCCAGTAATGAGCTGACAGTACTGTTCTTGTTATTTTACAGATTTATTTCTTACAGTGGAAATTTACTGAAACTTTCCATGACGCAATGGGATTCATCAGAGATGTGGACTGTTCTGTACACACAGACATGAATGATGTAGGCTACTCTCTACATTTAATTTTAATTTTTAGCTAACACAAATAAAACTCAATTTCTCATGAGTTCATTATAGTCTGTCAACATCTGTTCATAAACATATGCACAATATACAGGTGCATCTCAATAAATTAGAATGTCGTGGAAAAGTTCATTTATTTCAGTAATTCAACTCAACACAAAAATTGTGAAACGCATGTATTAAATAAATTCAATGCACACAGACTGAAGTAGTTTAAGTCTTTGGTTCTTTTAATTGTGATGATTTTGGCTCACATTTAACAAAAGCCCACCAATTCACTATCTCAACAAATTAGAATACTTCATAAGACCAATAAAAAAAACATTTTTAGTGAACTGTTGGCCTTCTGGAAAGTATGTTCATTTACTGTACATGTACTCAATACTTGGTAGGGGCTCCTTTTGCTTTAATTACTGCCTCAATTTGGCGTGGCATGGAGGTAACTACTTCAGTCTGTGTGCATTTAATTTATTTAATACACGAGTTTCACAATTTGAGTTGATTTACTGAAATAAATTAACTTTTCCACAACATTCTAATTTATTGAGATGCACCTGTACAACGACAGTTACAACTGACTGATACATCTGTTGAGCCTAGTCTCCAGTGTGTGATGTGAAAACACTGAAACCTGATTTACACATTTCTCAAATTGTTCTTAAACCACATATGCACACAATGTTTATTTTTCATTTGGCTGTTTTTCCATTCACAACCAGTCATGCAGGAAATTGTAATGACAAAAGACTGTGATGAGGAAATGACGTTAAAATATGTTTGTTTTTTCTACATTTAGTCATTTTGCCGACGCTTTTATCCAAAGCGACTTACA